CTTCCTTCCTTCCTTCCTTCCTTCCTTCCTTCCTTCCACTGCTTGCTCCCACGGTGGACAAATTTATCTGTCTTGTTCAATCGCTTCCTGTTCCACTTTTCACAGAACCCTCAGGGCACCTTGCGATACCAAACCAACTGACCAAACCAAATGCAGGCAAAGAATATTGGCAAACACACAAAGAATATGCAAAGAATATTTTAAAATACGTCAAGAGTATTCAAAGGTATGCACGTCTGCATATGCCGGTAGGCATTCTTTGCAAAAGTGCAAGCAGTTGTTTTTCAAATAGCCAAAGGAGTAAAAACAGGCAATCAAAACCTCATTAAAGTAGACAAATGCCAGTAAAATCATGAGCAAGTCAAACGTGGCTGAAGACTTGCATCTTAATTGCTAAACTGACAATGATGAAAGTGAGCCAGCCCTCCCACCACCGTCCCTGCCCAAATGACATGACCTAGATCTGAGAAGGACACATCTGGTTTCTTGTTACTCTGTCTCAGCTTTTTCCTACCTGACCCCATCCACATGTGTGGGACTGATGAACTCCCATCATTCCCAGCCAGTAGGACCAACAGCTCTCCAGCATTTCTGGAAGGAGCTATGCTGGCTGAGAAGGATGGGAGTTGTAGTCTAACTCATTTGGAAGTCCAGCTGGTTGGCTTCTTACAGGGCTTTTTCCAGACTTTAGGCAGTTTTATTCTCAGGGCTCTGGGAGAGAAGAGTCAATGCAACTCCCAGAATTCCCTCTTCTGCACGGCCATTAAAGATGGAGGAGCTTTTCTTGCATCTGACCAGTGCTCAAAGTATAGTTCTGTAGTTGAAAAGGTTCAAAGACACGATTCTTCTTATTCAAGGCAGTTCATCTCAGCACCTGAAATCTAATCTCAAGAGTTGGAGTTTCCTTCCACCAGCTTCCTTGGACAAAAAACTGGAGAAAACAAAAATTGCAGGGGTGTAGGCTGCCATGAGAAGACAGTGGGGGCAGCTGAGTTCAGATAAGCGTTTCTTTGAAGTCCTGGCTGTCGGCATTTATTTGACAAAGCTGTAGGCTGAGATCACAGGGTTCAGGAAACTGTAATTCAATTTGGCAAGGATTTGGCTTCTTGTGGTTGGGGAGTGTGTCCCTGTGGTTTGTAGAATCATAGAATGTCAGGGTCGGAAGCAGAGATGTCTGCAGGGCGGCAAGCAGTCAAATGTCAAGATGATCACCACAACTGAAATCCCTTTTTAATTTGCATGCGATATAAAAGGGGTGTGACTTCAGTTATGCAGTTGTGTCAACCCTTTGAGGTAGACCAGACTAGGAAACCAAAGTCATGCAGGCCAAGACTACTTTTATTTATAAGTTTATGGTGACAGAATCTGGCAAGTCTGAATGTGCTTCCCCCCTCCCTCCCTTTATCTTCATGCGAACTAGGGAGGGTCAAGTCTGAGACGCTTTCTCAGGCTACAGTTCTAGCTGGGACTCTGATTTCTCTTATCTGGCTGTTCTTCTGGTAGTGGCTCTTCCTCCTGTTCCTCAGGGTTATTTTACAGCCCATTACAAGTTGTGACTGCTGTCTAGACGTTTTTGACCCCCCCCCCCGCAGACACCCCTGGGTAGAAGGGACCTTGGAGATCATCCACTCCAACTAATTTATACTGGTGTTTTTATGTATTGTTTTAACCACATTCCTGTTTGTAAGTCTGTAAGCTGCTGAGAACCAGTTATGATTGAGGCAGATTAGTCCCATAGCTTACTAACTGAATAGCTAAATAACCCCCTGCCTGGTGCAGAAATCTGCTTCACCAGGATCCCTGACTGATGGCCATCCAGCATCACTCCAGCTGGGTGGACATGTATGTAGGCCTAGGATGCAATCTATTATGAATTGAGACAATTGTGCTTTATTCACACTGTCTGAATAGTGAAGCAAAACATAACTTAGTAGAAAATAGGAAACTGTAGTGGTATGTGGGAATGACCTTGGGGGACTGTGGGAAGAGCCGCAGCCAGGGCAACAGTCCTGAGCCCATGGCAGGAACGGGGGCCTGGCAAACATCGCAGAAGGGACCCTCCCAGGTTTCCTGGACTGTAAAGGTGAGGGGGGAGAGATGCACGTTCAGACTTGTAAGGTTCTGTTAATGTCACCTTACAATAAAGTAGAATTAGTCCATCTGGTTATGCTTCCTGTTTGGACTACCTCGCTAGGCCGACAGAAACAGACTACAATCGTTCCAGAGTTATGGGCCCTGTTGGCACCAGGTCTATAGGCCAGGTCAAGAAACAGACACCCAGGATTGCTAGAACCCTATTGTATTGTTATAGGGTGTAATAACAGAAACTTAAAATCCTGACAGAATTTCCCCTTGCCCCCTGTTATATCAAGGAGAATCAAAGTTACGTTATCTTGAGTTTCTTTCTTACCCCCTCTTCCTTCCCAGGGCTGAGGGGATGTTTACCTAACCCTTCTTGCCTTTCTATTTCAAGATTACCTCTGACACCTCTGTACTGAGGGTCTCTTTTCCCCTGCTCCTGCCACCTATGCTTTTCCCCTTCCAATTTCAGAAGCCGCTGATCCACGTGGCCCTATTAAAGAGAATCCCAGGAGCAAAATTCTTCCTAGCTGCGCAAGGGCACTCGTGGTTTCCCACCTACGCTTCCGGAGAGAGCTTCAAAACTGTGCGGTCGTCTCCACCAGCCACTGAGGTGAAAGTGTGCTTGATGAGTCCCACCTTCGGGGTCTATGAGCAGTGGGTGGTATTTGACTTCGGCAGCCGTCCGGTCTTGCTCCGAAGGCTCCAGGCCCGGGTGGGTCAGAAGGAAGCCCCCTGGCGGGTGGATCCAGCCACGGAGTCCGTGAGCTGCTTTGTGAACCTGGAGCGCTGGCATACCGGGAACCGCGTGGTGGTGCCCAGCGTGGAGCGCACTGCCAAGGAGGTGGATCTGCTGGCTAAATACAAGGCCCCTTCGCTCTCGATGGACTTCCAGCGAGGGGCTCAGGGCAAGCCCATCACCCGCATGAACTACCGTGAGCAGATGCACAACTTCCTCTCCCGAGAAGAAGAAGCTCAGCGGCTTTTGATCTCCAAGTAAGTGGACCCTCACCTAAGGCAAGATTGGTGGGACAACGTTGACTTCAAATACCTCCCGTCCTCCAAAGGGATGCCCTTTTCTATCCCAGAGTGGAAGAACCAAATTCTTTTGGGGGGCTGGTTGTTTTGATAACTCCCCAACTTTCCCTTGCCAACCCAGTCAGAGAGTCTTGCTTGATATTATAAGGGGATCCAGATCATTGCAGACTGCTTGTAGCACAGGGGCCATAAAGCCCTCTTCTTGTTATGGAGATCTGGTTGCAGCCAACCCCCTAACAGCAGAGTTTCACCTGCCCCATCAAGAAAAATTCACAAAAGGTCTCATTAATTAGGAGTATTCTCAAGAAGAGCGGGGTTTCGTAGGCAGAATCTTGGAAACAAAGTCCAACTATAGCACTCATTTAGTAGTGAATTAGTTAAGGTGGGAGAGAATGGTTTGAGCCTCTTCTTCCCACAACACAAGATCAAACGGCTAACCGCCCCTTTCTCACTGAAGAATGGCCCTGAATTATCCATCTGCTGATAGTTAATGATGTTTTGAAATAATCCCGTTCTGTTCTTGGCCCTAAAGTCAGCTTTGGAGATCTCTTGCACACTGTGGCCTTTCATTGTCTAATGTTGCCCTTGGAAACAACCCAGTGCTGAACAGACCAGCTTTTCTACCGTTCAGGTGTGGAAGCGTGTGCCACCACCTCTCCCGATATGTCTGTTTTCATGGGCCAGTGCACTCCATTGTTACTTCTCTTTCATTTACTCTGTTTTAAACGACGTTTAGCTTGATGGTTTTAGAGCTAACGTAAAATGCGTCAGGATTTTTTTTTTTAAAATAATGAAGGGGTATAAGACATTTTTCTGATAAATATATAGTAGTGGGAAATGCACGGGAACAGGGAGTTGAAATGTACGCATCTGGCTTCTCCTAAATAGAGGTATCAGTTCATCTACTTCAGTGTTTCTCAGCTTGGCAACTTTAAGATGTGTGGAATTACAATTCCCAGAATTGCTGGGAATTCTGGGAGTTGAAGTCCACACATCTTAAAGTTGCCAAGGTTGAAAACTGATCTACTTCAACATGGTCCACTGCAGCTTTTCCCGCTGACGTGCCTTCTTCTTGTTTTGGAGTGCAATTCGTATCATCCCTAGCTTGCCTGATAATGGCTCATTTGTCTTCATGTTTCCAGGGTTGAGATAGTAGTAGTAGCAGAAATAATAATAATAAATGCAACCTTTAACACCATCAAACAATAACATCTGTCTATCCCAGGTCCTTGGGAAGGACTCAATAGGTGGATAAAAATGCCAAATCC